GAATATCCCAGTGCTGGGAGATGGAGCTTTCTGAGAAAGCAGTCAGCACCCAAAACATCATGAGAAACCTGAAGGGGCTGACCCCAGCATAAGAGATGCTCGTGTGGTCTCAGCACCAGACATGCCTAGAAGAGAGCTCCCAGGGCAGGTCTGAACCCACCATTCATCCGTCTACCTGCGAGAGCCTCAGAGCCACAGAGCCACCGGGGACACACATATGGCGAGGCCCCGATATGCATAGTCCAGAAGCCAACTTTCCCCCAGGATCCAGAGCAAAGCTGTAACTGTCTCTCTGACTTCAACCCCACTGCCTTTCCAAGCCCTTTTCACCAGCTGCCTGCAGCTAAGTACAGCCTGTGGTCTGAGGTAGGTATCAGACCAATTGGGCTCACAGCCACATCCCAAGTGTCCTCAGCACCCTCCCTCTCCAACTAACCTGCCACAGGTTCCATTTACCTTCAGGTCAGCCTTGCTGCGGGGCAGCAGATGCTAGGAGAAGGCGAGGTGAGAGGCGCTCAGGTGGCTTCTTCAGGAATCTTTGGCTTCCTCAGGGCTGTGAGGAACAGCTCTGTTTGGCTGTGGGGAGGATCACAGCTCTAGGATCTGGGGTACTTATAAAACCAAAGCCCCCAGCATGCTCACATCCATCCTGGCTGTTCTGCAGGAATCCCCAGGAGCAGCAGCCTGGCCACACAGGGAATCCCACAGCCGTGTTTGCTCCTCCAGGCAAAAGCAGGGAAATCCAAAGCATGAAGGGAGTTGTGGATCACCACACCCAGCTCCTGCTGACCCAAAGATCCCACTTGATCTTGTCTGTCCTCAGCTAGCCCATGCTGCAGCTTGTTCCAGGGTGCAAGGAGAGCCTCCCAGGCAGCCTGGCGTGGTGGCACAGCCACTGGAGAAGTGTGCCCAGCTCTGCAGGGAGCCCGGGGACACTCACCACCGGCTGATGGCGAGGAGTCAGTGGAGAGCTGAGAGGCTGGCCCCACATGTGCTGGAGGGATGCAGCACGAAGCACAAAGGCTTTCCCATCCTGGCTGCTCTGCCCTGGAATGCAGCATGAGAACCACTGCCCAGCACAAATCTGTTCCTCATTATCCACCCCAGCTGCCAACTTATCCCAGCTCCATCACCAGCCACTCGCTGCACAGCCCCAGACAGCTTGTATCGCATCAGCAGAGCAACTTCTGCATGGCTTCACCAGGCAGTGCAGCAGGGCAGGCCAAGGCCAGGCTGGCTCCCACTCCTCCAGAGGTAATGCTGGAGTCAAAATCAGAGCCTCATATAACCACAGCCTGGTTTGGGTTAGAAAGGTCCTTAAAGCTCATCCAGTTGCATCCCGACATGAGCACGAACACCTTCCACTATGCCACGTTGCTCCAAGCCCCATTCAACATAGCCTTAAACACTGCTAGGTATAAGGCAGACACAGCTTCTCTGGACAACCTGTGCCAGGGCCTCAGAACCCTCACAGTGAAGAATTTCTTCCTTATATCTAACCTAAATCTCCCCTCCTTGAACCCATTCCCCCTTGTGCTGTCACTACAGTCCCTGGTGAAGAGTCCCTGTCCAGCATCCTTGTAGGGCCCCTTCAGATACTGGAAGGATGCTATGAGGTCTCTGTGCAGCCTTCTCTTCTCCAGGCTCATTCCCTCCACTAATAGGCAGAGGAGGCTTCCAGTGAAAGCAGGGATGGCTGCTTCATGTGAGAAGATCAAGAAGCCAAATGCAGAAGGATTGACAAGAGATGCTAGTGTGATGCATGTGACTCAGGTGAGACAGATGCATGAACAGTTGAGCAGGAGCAAAGAACAAACTGATATGTCTCCAAAATATGCTTACCACATACTAGACCAAACAACTTTCCAGAATTTTCCTGCGTTTGTCTTCCCGCTGTTCTCCATGAAAACGAGAGTGTGGTCAAAGCCCTTGCCATGCTTTGTGCTTGCTAGTGCCTAGGACCAAGTGGGAGGTGGGAAGCTGGGCTCCCATTCACCAGCTTCCCACTGCTTGTGCATGTATAGGCCATTGTGAAAACATCACGCAAGGGCATCAGAAGTGCTCCAGAAATAGAGCAGAATGAAAAAGCACACGAGACTGCCCATGAGTCAACATCACCATGCTGCAATGGAGAATGTGAAGCTAGCAGGTTCAAAGAAATGATTATCCTCTTGACTTTGTACCTGTGGGACACAACTGGGTATTAGCTCCACAAGAAGATGGATAGCTATATCTACATTTACATCTACATCTACATCAGGGACTGTAGTGATAGGAGTAATTGGCTTAAACTTAAACAGGGGAAGTTCAGTTTAGATAAAAGGAAAAAGTTCTTTACTGTGAGGGTGGTGAGGCACTGGCACAGGTTGCCCAGAGCAGTCTTGAATGCTCTATCCCTGGCAGTGTTCAAAGCCAGGTTGGACAGAGCCTTGGGTAGCTCATGCATGGTCTAGTGTAAGGTGTCTCTGCCCATGGCAGTGGGGGTAGAACAGGATGATCTTAAGGACCTTTCCAACCATAACTATGCTATGATTCTATGATCTACATCTACACCTGCATTAGAGACAACCAGATTTAAGAAGACAAGGCAAAGAGAGGAACTACCTACAAGGGGGCACAGAGAAACCAGAGCCCAACTCTTTCTCAGAAACACACTTGGAAGAGCAAGAGGCAACAGGGACAAACTGCACCAGGGGAAATGCTTGCTGGACAGCCCTGGGTTCAGCAGTAGCAGTCATTTTTCTCCTTCTTAGTAGCTGGTACAGTGCTGTGTTTTTGACTTTCAGCCTGGGAACAACGCTGCTAACACCGATGTTTTTAGGTGTTGCTCAGTAATGTTTACTCTGACCAAGAACTTTCTGAGTCTCATGCTCTGCCAGGTAGGAGGGGAAGTCAGGAGGAAGCAGACAGGACCCCTCACCCAAACTAGCCAAAGGGGTATTCCATGCCACAGTACATCATGTCCAGTATATAAAATGGGGGGAGTCACCTGGAAGACCCAGGTCGTTGTTCGGACTGGGCTGGGTATTGGTTGGTGGGTGATCAGCAGTTGTTTTCTCTCCCATTGTTATTCCCCTTATCATTATTATTATTGGTAGTATCAGTAGTGGTTTTGTGTTATACTTCAGTTACCAGACTGTTCTTACCTCAACCCGTGGGAGTTACATTCTTTCTGTTCTCATCCCCATCCCTCTGGGAGTGGGGGAAGGAAGAAGGGCAGGAGTGAGCATTTGGCTGCATGTTTCTGAATGACTGGCTGTGAAGGAAAAAATAATTCTGCAAAAGAGTGGTGTAGCCATGGTGCGGCTCTGGGACAGGAGGTGGTGACATTTCTACCTTCAGGAATTTTTCAAACCCAATGGGACAGGGCTCTGAGCTACCTGCTGTAGTTTTGCCGCCAGCCCTGTGTGGAGCCAGGGTTGGACCACAGACTTCCTGAGCCCCTACCAGCCTAGAATCCACCTGATGCTCTAACACATGTTGTGCAGTGGTGAGGTGGCAATTTAAAGATGACTGCACAATGCTGTTGCTTACCTGACTTCAGAGATGGCCAACACGAAGCTGTCGCCCACAGCTTGGCTCTTCCATCCAGCTGATGCCCCTGTTACCAGAACCGCCTTACATCCCCTGCTGACTTTACAAGTACTGGTACCATGGACAAACTGGAGGAGCTGAGCATTGGAGCTGTGGAGGAACTGTGCAGATTTAATTGCAGGCTCTAAGGAGAAGCCGGCATGCAAAATGACAGGTCTGCGATAGCCAGGGATGGAGTTGCTTATAGTAACAGTGAGAGGGTTGCAAGTTCTGGGTTACATGAGAAGCAGCTCCTTTGGTTATGCTTTTCTCTCTTCTGGAGGAACAGAGGTTTGGGCTCATGTGTTCGTGGTTTGTCATGGTTCGTGTGTTTTTCCACTGAAGCACTTGAGTATTTTTAGGCTGAAAGAGATGGCTCTGTGCTAAGCTGGAAGGATCACAGCAGCCCTGTGCAGGCACAATGCTGCTGCTATCTCCCTGTAAAGTGAAATACAGAGAATGGAGTATGAGAATGAAAACTGACAGAACCCCGTGGGGAAAGGTGTAGTAGGAACCACCATCTCTGGCCACAGCAAGGCTGGGGCTGAGGATGGGAACAGGGGGTTCCAAGCTGCTGGCTAGTGGCCTGCACACACATTAGCTGCTAGGTTCAGATAACTGTGTAGAACAGCATCAACCAGTCCCAGTGTTTCCTGAAGCTGAGATGACTACTTTTCTGAGGGGCTGAATGCCAGAGACTCACCACTTCCAGGAAAACAACCTGGTCAACACAACCTGGTGCACTGCCAAGGCAATCGTCTCTGCAGGGAATACTGGCACTGAGGTCCAGCACACAGAGCATAGCTTGGCCAGCATTGCTAGTCAGTGGAACGCAAGGCAGCAGCTTCCAGAGGGACCAGTGCAAAGCTCTGAGTGCTAGTAGCCTTATAGAGACCTTGCCAAAAAGGACCTGTGGGTGATGGTAGATGCTAGATTGAACACAAACCACACATCTTGAACACAAACCACGCACCTACCTTGTGAATCAAGTCTCCCTGAGGAGAAGCGAAGCCAGCAGATGGAACGAAGTGCAATGCCACCACATTGCACATCCAATGCAGGATGCTCTGAAACAGACCCATTTGAACCACATGTTTGGCAAAGGTAGAGGAAGTATGGACATGGGATGATGTGGGCTCCCGTCACTCTGGTGCTGTGTACAACACTGGAGTTGTAGTGCCCTGCTGGCCTCTTGCTGGCTGCTCCCCACAGCCTGGCCTAATAACAGCTACAGGCAAGCTTCTGTTTGGAAAGAATTTCACATTTTCCACAAACATCCTCAAAACTAGGAAACCCAGTTAGGCACAGTGAGTCTGAGAGGGGGCTGTGGCCTCAGGCGGAGAGGAATAGAGGGAGAACCAAATCAGAATCTGCAGCAACCAGGACATGCAGAGGTTCCCAGAAAGCAGAGAAATCAGACCACGATATCTGCTCCAACTCAGCTTTATTGAACATTACAAAATACTCTGCATATATTTTCACATTAAAACAATATTCTTGCAAATAAGAGATTAAGTCTTGAGTCATCCAGGGTGCCCATGGCTACAGAAAACACTGACTCAGCTAGGGATTTAGTATGGCCCAATATCAGCAATCAAAACCAGAATAAGGCATACCAGAAATGCAAAACTATATAAAAACCTTTTAAAAACTTCATGCTCATCCAGTGGAACAGGTACCAAGCACAATAATAGCCTTTGTTGAGCCTTGCTGACAGCACCAGGGGGTACCACCAGCTTGCCTGCTCCACACTGGGCTCACTCACCCAGTACATCCAAGTATCCCCAAGTGTCACCTGCTGTCCCAGCACACCCCTGTAGCTGGAACAGGCAGTTATTTACCTGCTCTGGGGCATTACCAGCCCAAATCCCCATTCTTCCTTCAGAGGAGCCAGTACCCAGCTTCTGTGCTGAGCTTTTGCATGCAGAGCAGCTTTTGGGGAGCAATTCTTGGTCTTTGGGGTGACACCAGGGCTGTTGCCACCGTATCTTACCAGCCTCTCAGGAGGGCCCAAGGGTGGCTGGGAGGTGGTGGCAACAGACCTTGAAGATGCACTTGGTTCTCACCTATCACCCCTGTTGCTGATGTACATTCATATCTGCTGCTTCTTCAATCCTTGCCCCATGACCAGCTCTACCAGCTGATGAGCCCCAGGCAACTGGAGAGACTGGGATGTGGGCAGGATGAATACCAAGGTTGCTATACAGGGCAGCTGCCCCCTACCAGTCTGAAAGCTGAACATGGCATTTTTGGGAACACATCCAGGCCACAGGCATGAGGCTGGCACAGCAGGTTGGCTGCTGGAGGGGCCCTAGCATACAGGTTCACTAGTCGAGCTCCTCGTGGAGGCAGAGCCCAGAAGAGCTGCACCCAGTCCTGAGAAGGTCATGTCCTTGCCTCTGTGATACCTCCATAACCCAGGAACGCAGAGCTGCCATGGCAAGAAGCCCATCTCTGACCTTCCAGGTGCATCCATGCATGCTGTGAGGAGCCAGCACTGTAGCCACTTTAAAGTCAACAGCCCACCACTGGGTGTGAATGGGCTGCACGTACCAGCACAGCTCCCAGGGCTCTCCCCAGAGGTCTACTCACAGCAGGTTGGAAATCAGCTCCACCATGCTTCTACACCCGTGAGCAGCCGCAACCCATTAACCAGCACCCACACACCCCAGGGCAGCACAGCCACTACAGGATAGAGTCCCCTTGGGATCCCAGCCCTGGGAGGAACATCTCTGCCCTCCCAGCTGCAGAGATACATATCCTGAGAGGAAAAATGAGGTTTGGGGTCTGGGTGAATGGAGGCTGGTACCTGCTGTTGCAGCAGAAATCCCAGTTATCGACTAGTTTGTATCAGTAAGTGCATAGGCAAAGCCCACCCTGCAGTGCAGCTCTGGGAGGAGTAGTGGATTCTTCTGCCACTCCTGGTTTATGGAGATACACAAGCTTTACAACTCAAGACAGCAGAATGGCCACAGCCCTCATTCCTTTCACCATCCACAGTGTGCCCTCAGAGGTGGCTCACTCAGTTGAGCATCAGCCCCCTGGGCTCCGTGGTTGGCAGCACCCTGCCCTGCTTCTCTGTGGCCATAAAAGGCTGCATTTCCTGCTGCTCTGCACCACTGGGGTTGCTGTCACTCTGTGACCGCCCATTCTTAGAGACATGGCTGGGGAACTGGAAGCAGGAGCTCTGCTCCAGCATGACTTGGCTCGCAGACTGGAGTTGCTCCTCCAGAACAGGGCAGGCAAACCTCTTGTGCTGAGGTCCACTCTCGATGCCTGGCGGGGAAGCAATGCTCTCCAGGGAGGAGATGCTTTGGTTCCACGCCTTCTGCATATCCACTGGCACGATTTTGGTGGTCTCCGAGGAGATGTAAACAGCCAGACCAGCCTGGTCTCCTTTCCATGGCAGCTCCTTCTCTGCCAAGGTGGGTGACGGAGGGATGATGCAGGGGCTGGGGCAGACATACAGGCTGTCTGGGGGTGCAGAAGGAGTGACAGTGAGATTTTGCACAGCTCTTGGTTCCTCCTCAGGCTCTGCAAGTATTGCAGAACCAACCACTACCAAATGGTCAGCTGGCCCAGGCATGCAGGAGCCATCAGGGAGGTTCTGCCATGACTCCAGAGCCACAGAGAACAGGGATTCTCCCATTCATGCTCTGCTGACTTTGGGTTTGCCCAGGCCAAAGCAATTTAGTGGCCCAGGAAGGACAAGTTACCTTAATGGCAGCTGCCCTGGCATGGGAGCACCAGTGCCTACCAGAAGCTGTCTTTCCCTGCAGGACATCATCGGTGGCTCGAGCAATGAACACAATCCCTTCATCATCTTCTCTCTCCGTCTCTGAGCCATCGCTCTCCTCCTCCTCGGAGCTGATCATCACCAGGACAGGAGCTGCAGCCAGATGGAGGGAGTTGCTTTGGAGGCTGGAGCACCGTGTAGGGGAGGACTGCACCCATGGGAGAAGGACTTGGTGCTAGTACAACCACTTGTGCTGTTGTGCCACCATGCTGGCAGTAGGAAGGCACAGGGGGCTGCTCCCATCCTATCCTATCCCATCTCACGCCACCCCACCCCACCAGGTCCCCATGCAGGACTTGCAGACCTTGCCTGCCACCCGCCTCACCAGCATCCTGCCAGGGGACATTTCTGTGCATCTTGTCATTGGGAGCCTCTCTCGTCACAGAGATGTTCTTCTGTGAAGGAAGAGGGACCATCTGGGACCTGCCCAAGCAAACCCCTAACCCCAGCCCAGATGGCCCTGCAAGATAGGGTAACCCCAGGGACCCAGCTTCCCACCCCAGCCAGATTCCTAGCCCTTAGGCATTGCATCTTCATAGCCCTCCAACAAACAGCTCAGTTTCAATGGCTTCAAAACCTCCAAATGAGAGAAGATACCTAAGGCTCAATTTAAGCCACGGGGCCTGGATCTGCAGTGATGTCCAGGCTACTTTATGCTGAGTGCTCTTGGAAAACAAATATGGGGCTTCCTCAGGGCTTGGGACTGCTTTGCCCAGGGAAAAGCCACACCACAGCAGTGCTGGGATGGTGAGGACACATGGACATGTAACACCCACGTGCTCACAAAGAGCATATGACAGGCTGAGAGAGCTGGGCTTCTTCAGCCCAGAGAAGGCTCCGAGGAGACCTTAGAGCAGCTCCAGTGCCTAAAGGGGCCACAAGAAACCTGGAGAGGGGCTTTGGACAAGGGTCTGTAGGGACAGAACAAGGGGGAATGGCTTTAACCTGACAGAGGGGAGATTGGCTGCTCCATCCCTGGCAGTGTTCAAGGTCAGGTTGGACAGGGCTTGGAGCAACGTGGTGTAGTGGAAGATGTCCCTGTCCATGGCAGGGGGTTGGAACTGGATGAGCTTTAAGCTCCCTTCCAACTCAAATGAGGCTGTGATTCTGTGATATGCAGGACTAAAATGAGATTAGCAGCTTTCCCCACTGTTTCTGCAGCTGCTGATGCCCTTCAGCACCTCACCTACACCCCACTGTCTGCATCCTGGGGGAGGCCAAATCTCAGAGCTAGGAAAGGAGCAGGACGCTGTGGAGTGCTTGCCTTTTTCCTGCCCTTTTCCTTCAGCCTGGCCTTACTCTTGGAGAAGCAGATGTTGTGCTTTGTGGACTTGAAGGTCTCCAGGCGCCTCCTCATGTTCTGACGGAAGATTTCTTTGTCTTGGCGCTCTTGTTTATCTGGAGAGATGAAGTGACGGCTGTAGCTGGCCTTGTACTGGCCGAGGGAGAGGCAAAGAGACACAGGGTGAGCAGCTGGCCCCACAGAGCATCCTCCATCCCTGCTCCTCTTGTGGGTGCTGCTACCCTCAGGGTCAGCTGCACGCCACGGCGAAGGAGCACTCACCCGCCGGCGTGGCTTGTACAGGTTCCCTCGCAGCACGTGGTGCATGGCAGCATCCTCCTTGTCCCGCCGGCTCCGCACAGTGTCAATCACCTGCATGTCCAGGCACGCACCACTCCCACTCTCCCTCCTGGGGGGAGATGGAGGTGGAGATAGAGGTGGAGCGGAGATGGAGATTGAGGTTGAAATGAAGGTGGAGATAGATGGAGTTGGTGGGACTGGGCTACATGCCCCCATCCTATCAGCCCTCTGCCAGCCCTGGCACAACACATCCCCACGTAAAAGGGAAGATGCAGGAGTCCAGCGAGGTCTGCCCAGGGGCTTGGGGGGATGCTTGTACTCACAGGAGGTTTGTGACTGATGACTCCGAAATGGACGTGCGGCTGGGCATTGAGGGCAGTGCCAGCTTGGCAGCAGAGAATGCATGTCCACCCTGGGAGATGAGAGGGCAAAGCTGGCAGCAGAGCAGCAAGGACCTCACTGGTCTGGGGGTTCCCCACTGCCTGTCCTGCGGGTACATGTGTAGCCATACATGATGGAGCCACCACCCCAGGCCACCAGCTCCTGTTGGGGCCATCCCACCACCCGGTCCCCCCCATATGCCCCTGGTGGGGAAGCTGATAGCAACATGGATGTTCAGCTTGATACCTGGTCAACAAAGCTGATAGCATCACGGATGTTTAGCTTGTAGTAAACATCCCAGATCTCATCCCGCAGCCTGTAGGCAGATTTCCGCATCAGGAGCTGGCTCAGGTACTTCTTGTCAAACTGTTCCCACCTGCCATAAGATGAAGACATGGGTGATTAGCGCTCAGGGGTACCACAGCTAGGGACCCCTGCCCTGTAAGGTTGACTTGTTCAAAGCATGCTGAAAGCAGGCTGCACACACAGGACCTGGCTCTGCCCAGGGACACACTGCCAGGGAGAACAGCAGCACAGGGGACATGCTGACCCTTCATCTCTGTCCAAGGGGAAGTCAGAGACAAGTGGGTCTGTGGGAGTGGAACTGGGGCCAACAGCTGCCCAGCTGGAGCCCTTCCCCTCCAGGAAACAGGCTTTTCTCAACCTGTTCCTGTTGCTGTGCTGCAGATAAACACTGCCCAGGACTTAACAGGGCCAGTCCCTCCTCAGTACCCAGCTCCCCACCCATGGAGAGTCACTGGGCCATAGCCCCATGCCCCATGCCCCATCCCTAGCAGTGTTCAAGGCCAGGCTGGACAGGACTTGAAGCAACCGGGTCTAGTAGATGGTTCCTGCCCACGGCAGGAACTGGATGACCTTTAAAGTCTCTTCCAACCCAAACCATTCTATGACTGCCACCACCACAGACACCCCATGCCTCCCCAGTAGCTCCAGCACAGGCAAGCAATGCCAGCTCCTGCAGCATCCCTAGGTCCACCTGCCTGACCTCTCTCTAGGGTGCTTTAGATACTTCGGTCTGCTGTATAATAGGAGGCAGATGGTCCCTTTCCAGATGGACTGATTGAAGGACATACAGCCTTCTTTGTCCTACTGCCCTGCCTACAGCCAGGCTGTCCTGCAATGTCCCCATGACTGGCATTATGTCCCTCTTCCACCTGATGGCCGGCAGAGGATCCTGGGTAAGATACTCACTTGTCCCGCCAGTAATGGTAGCCATGGTGCCCCACAATATCCTCCACTGCTGCCATGATGTGGTCAAAGGCCTTGAGTGAGGAGAAGAGGGTGAAAGCAGTGACAAGGCTGCAGGTGCCCCAGGAGTGCTGACGCAGCACAGGGAGCCAGGCAGCCTTCACTACCACCACCTACGTGCTCATGCAGCTCCTCATTCAGCGTGGGCTTGTGGTGGTCACTGCGCTTCACCTTCAGCCACGTCACCAGGGGTTTGATGGTGAGGCCCTGGAATGCAGGAAAAGGCAAGGGAAAGACTGGGAGGGCAAGAGGGTGAGTGGCTGGGGCAAGGGAAGCAGAAGTGGCAAGAAGTCCCTAAACCATGTCACTAAGGGACATGGATTAGTGGCAGTCCTGGGGTAAAGGTTGGACTTGATGATCTTAAAGGTCTTTTCCAACTCAGTTGATTTTATGATTCTATGAAGTGACTGGGAACAGCAGCTATGCCAGCAGCACATACCCCTACCAACCCGAGCCTCTGTGCCTGGACCTCGGTGATGCTCCCATGTCCAAGGCAGCAACCATGTTGTACCCCGTCAAGTCCCCTTTCCCCTATGATCGCATCCATCCACCCTTTGTCTCCCCTTCCCAGGGTGGAGGGACTGCAGAGCCAGGGGCCATCAGCAGCATTGTAAAGAGAACATTCTCAACACACTGTTGCTGTTGTTGGAGCCAACCCCAGAACAAGAAGCCAATGGGGAAACAGTGTGGAGCATGGCCCCACTATTGCAACAGTCACCACCATGGCCCTCCACACCAGCCTGGTGATGGATGAAGTCAAGAGGCACTGAGAACCAAAGAAGTACTGGCCCCAAGCACATGGCCCCAAGCACCCGCCTGGCACCCCAGGCCACCTCTGGGGCAAGAAGGCAGCACTGGAGAAGGGCACACTGCCCATCCTCACCTGCACAATGACAGTGAAGAACACCACCACAATGGTCGTTGCCACAAAATAGTCCTTGGCTTTCACCTTTGTCCTGTCCAGCAGGATGACCAGGGCAAAGGCCACGGCCCCGCGGAGGCCACCATATGACATGACCACTTGGTCTATCCTGTCCAGAGGAATGAGGCGGAAGCGGTTGAGCACACAGGTCTGCAGGACAACACCTAGGAAAGGAGAAGGAGAGCCTGGGATGCTGGCAGGGATGCTGGGATGCTCCTGGAGATGGGGCAAACCACAGCCCGGAACCATGGCTGGCCTCATATCCCACCATTTCTTGGGGAATGCCACTTTTTGATATGAAAAGAGCTGGGTTTTTATTGGCCAGAGGCACTGAGGGGCAGACTTACCCACAGCTCTGAAGAGCAGGATATAGAACAGGGTGCCCAGCACCAGTGCTGTGTCCCATGCCCATTTGGAGGTGTCCACTGCCGAGATGCCCAGAAACATGAAGATGATGGTTTCTGAGCTGCTGGCCAGTGTCTTCATGGTGTACTTGACTGTGGTGCGGGACTTCTGGGAGATATTGGCTTCTACATACTTCTTGCAGCAGATCCCACAGAAGGTGACTCTGCAGAGGGGCAGGAGTTGGCATGACCTTGCGGTGGGATAAGGAGTGGGTCTGCTCACCACTTCTTGATGCTCAGCACTTCACCCCTAATTTCCTGGACCCCCCACTCCATGGGATGCCCCAGAACTCACGCCAGGATGGAGGAGAGTGAGACCATCTCAGCAACAAGGTATGCAACATAGGCCAGGAGGAAAACGAAGAGTGGCTCGATGATGCGCACGTGCTTGGTGAACCGTGTGATCAGGGCCAGGAGGAAGGCAAAGAGCAGCCCCACAGCCGTGCCCCCCAGGCTCACCAGGAAGAAGGAAGCTGGTGGGGGGAGAAGACTCATCTGCACTATAAGCAATTGAGCCCAGCTCCTGTGCCCCCATGACCACACCATGCTGGGCTGGCCCTTGTGCTCCCACCCAGCTCCCCACCAAAGCGTCCCATGATGACAGCCAGGATGTGTAGATGAGGCCCTTAGTGATACGGTTCATTGGTGGCCCTGGCAGTGCTGGGAAATGGTTGGACTTGATGATCTTGAAGGTTTTTTTCCAACCTGGTTGATTCTATGATTATGATTTTATTATTCTGATTATGTGACAACTGGGATGGAGATGACAGAGCTGTGGTGCTCACTGCCACAGAGCAGGACAGCACCTATGCTTTCCTCCAGCACTACCACACTGGTGGAGAAGATGGAGGGGCTGGTGGGGCACATACTTACCTACCCCCTTCACGTAGTCTGTGGCACGGATATGCTCTGGGCCCAGCTCCACAAAAGAGTTGAAGACCTTGTACAGCACCTGCAGGCAAGGCAAATGCCTTGGGGAAGGCAGGGTATTATCCTGCCTTGAAAGGGACAGCACCCATGGGCAGGATGGACCCTGCAGAAGAGGTTTCACCCACCCCAAATCTGCCAGGCAACACAGCTCATCTCAACAGGCAAAGTCCCACAGGGACAGGAGAGAAAAAAGGCCAAGAGAGCATAGGGATGCCCCCAGCTGGGGATGTCACCTGCATCCTCTGCCTATCCTGGGGGGCTCCAGCACTCTGGCCCAAACCTGGTTCCACGTTAGGGTCCCCCAAGCTCCAACTCACCACAGTGACAGCATCATTCAGGAGAGACTCGCCAAACACGATGATGAAGAGGGTCTCATTTACATGGACCTCTTCAAAGACAGCCAGCACTGCCACAGGGTCCACAGCTGAGATGAGGCTGCCAAAGAGCAGGAAATCCATCAACCCAGCTTCAACACCTGGATCTGCTAGGACAGAAGGACCAAGTTCAGGCAGACCATCTGCCCCAGAGTCCCTCTCATCAGCCTGAAACAAGCCAATCCCTCATCTGCTCCTGGTCATCTGGCTGCAGCATCCCACCTTGGGATGCAATGGGCTGAGCCTTGGAGTGCTCCCAGATGTCTGGGGTCTCCCAAGCAAAGCACATTCTTGCTGCAACATGAGGGCAGCAGGGCTTGGATGTCCCCCTTGCACCCAGGTGCATTGCTGCCCCTTCAGTAGGTATAGACCAAAGGAGGCTTAGCAGCCCCACCTCAGGTCCAGGCATCAAGTGGTTCCTGAGGACTCAGTAGAGCTCAAAACACAGCCCAGGCCCCCAAAGGCCAGTAGCTCAAGCAAAGGACAGGGAACACAGCAGTGAGCCAGCAGAGCTAGTCAAACTCTGGGACAAAAATAGCAAAGACATGAGTCACCCAGTGCCAAGGCAGACCCATTTGTCCTGCATGCTTGACAGTCTTGCCAGAGCACTGTTCCTGGGATGCCAGGACCCCGCTCCTGCTATAATTCCTGGGAGTCCATGGCAGGGCCAGGCAGTGGACTCTGAACCTGGGGGTACTTTGCACCTCCAACTTATCTTTTGGGTTGTGTGATGGCAATGGTTGGTTGGGTTGGGGATGTGGTCTAAGCTGAACAGCCCTGTGCACCCACCCATAACCCCGGCCCGATGCAGCCCCCAGAGTGCAGTGCCAGTGGTGAAGGAGTTCCAGAGGGTCCCCACCACCGCGTAGGTGAGGATGGCACCGATGTTGTCGAAGAACAGTCGGCTGGGCATGAAGTAGCCTGAGTCAAGCACGATGGGGGGCAGAAGGAAGAGGAAGAACATGTTGGGCTCCAGCTGGTACTCAGCTTTCTTTGCCACAGCCAACACAATGCCCCCCAGGCCCAGCCCCAGCAGGATGAGGAGGCAGCTCTCCGGCACGATGGACGTCACCTTCCTTGACAGGTGGAAAACTAGAAGGAAAGGAGGAATGAGAGCATCAGCTAAACAGACAGAGCATCTCAGATCCACAAGCTCCACAGAAGGCTTGGTTGACACATAACAGACGCCAGGGAGGACAAGGGAGCGCTTAAGGCAGCTTTGTGGCCATGTGTGCACAGACCTTCCAGCTAGCTCCCAGGTCAGGATTTCAGGTACCTGACCTTTTGGGAATTTCCTTTCCTCCTCAGCCACTGTCTATCAAGCCAAGCAGCCAGGAATTTTGCTTTGCTTGGCCTCTGGTATTTGCCCTTAACGACTCAAAGCAGCCAGCAAGCATGTTCACAGTGTCACAAGCAATGCTGGCTGCTGTTTGAGACGTCCTGGTTCACCGGGACACATTACCCCACTCAGAGATGAGGATGCTCAGCCCTGGTGATGAGGTGACCTTGTTTGCAGCCATCTGAGCAAGCAGGGGGAGCAGCATGCAAAACACTGCAGCACTAGGCAGTCTCCATGCCCTCAGCACCAGCTAAACTACGTGCATGCAAAAACCAGGCACAAAGGAGCTGCAAATCTAGAGATCAGTTTATTCCCTATGAGGTTTGGACCAAATCTTAAGATGCCACAGATCAGGATATATTTTTAAAGCCTGCTGGTTATGTTCGGTATTCATCCATCAGCAATGTGGCAGTGAGCCTGCAGCTCAGGCACAAGCCAGTAAAACGTCACACCAGACAGCACAGGGCACTCGTTCCTCCAGGCAGCCTTGTCCCCAAGACCAGGGCATCCCGTGTAATCACAAATCATTCCAGCTTTCTGGTGGGCAAGCCCCCACCCCTGAGGATTTCTCCAGCCTAGAGTAGGGTGGTGTATTTTTGGTACCCCTCAAAGGGCAGTGCTTGGGGCAAGGCTGTTAAGGGTCACAGTGGTTTTGCTCCCCTCATTGTTGAGTTCTGCATTCATCCAGCCCACCTCTCTAGCTTGACTTGGTCATCAGATGAAGAAACTTCCTTTTGGGCATTGGGTTCTGGAGCCACCTCTGTCCTTGAGCAGCCAGCAGGTACAACGGACAACATGGCAGCCTCTGAGCCATCACATGGCTGCAAGCCCAGCCCTGCTGCCAACCCAAAACCCAGTCCCTAAAGCCCTTTAGCTGGATTAGAGATGCCTGTTGCTTGCGCCAAGTCATCCTGCCAGAAGGAAAGCTGTGCTGTGGTCACACACCAACCCGAGGTCACTTGGCTTCTTTCCTCCTTAGGAACCCCCATGGACACACCTTAAGTTCTGCTTAGGCCAGGGTCCTGTCTCCAGTGCCGTAGACCTGGAGAGGAGCCCAGGAACAAGCAGCACTTCATCATCAGGTTTCCATGCCCTTGACTTTTCCCTTTGAATCTGCCCCACCCCTGCTCTATCCTTTCTGGGGCAGGTCCCAGAGTCCCTGAGATGCAGACACCCTGGAAACTGAGGCCATCACCTCCTGTTCTTCCTTTCTTCTTTCCTAACATCCCTTAGTTGATTTGCTTTCCTTTGCTGCAGCTGAGCACTGAATAAGAGGAGATAACTCAACCTCAGAGATCTGATTCTTAACTAGAGACAACACCTTTGAGCCCACCACCAAATGTGCAGGCTAAGGGTTGCTTTTCCTCCTGCTGAGACCTTCCCAGTGACCGGCACTGCTCCTTGGCATGGTGAGCCATGTCCGTGCTGTCCTGGTGAGCTCCAGCACTGCTTCCCTGCCATAACACACCAGGAACACTGCCTCAGCCATGAGGAGAGGGGCAACCACCTGAAGGGGAAAGAGCTGCAGAGCACCCATGGCCAAGCCTCCATCATGGCTCTGTGGTTGTCTGCAGAGCCTAGGGCATCCTATTTGCCCCCATCTGCTTTCATGTGATCCAGCCATGGAGGCAGGAGCAATATGGACACTACAGCCTTCCCATCCCACTCACAGGCCGGAGAAGGGCTGGCTGAGCTCCAGCCCAGCGGAATTCCCGCTAAATGACTGCAGAAGCTGTGGCAAAGCCCTGTTCACCCCACATAAGCCAGGCAAAGGCAGCGCTGGTGGGTACATGGTGCCTGTAGCATGCTGCAAAATCACTTCCCGCCCACAGAAACACAGCTCCCAAGTTTTCCAGAAAGGAACAAGGCGTCCGGCCTCTTTCTGCACGCTTGGGATCATTGCCAAGATCCCTGCTCCAGCAACCCATATGCACTTTCCATGCTGCAGAGATATGCCCTGCCTGGCTGGAAAGATTTGAGAGAGCCCACAGAGATGCTATGGGGACATGGCTCCTGGCTGTCATCCATCATTCCTTCCCCCAAGCCAAAAACTTGGGCAAAGAAGGGAGCAGCATCGATGGGAAAGACCTTGCTTGTTCACAAAGCCCCTGGCTGAGGAGGAATGCTGCCATCCTCCCAAGTGAATAACAGCACACGAGCTCCTTTGTGCCGCGGGAAGCAGTCAGCAGGGACAGATAGAACAAGCTCTAATTTTACACACACTAGTCAAGGATTTCAGTATTAAAGGTTCCCACAGCAACAGTAACTTAGCCACATGTGAATTAACTTCAGAGCCATAATCTACTCTCAGGCATTTATAATAAATGATTTGCCATTGGCAAGACTCGGATTCAAAACCTGCCTCTGCTCCTCTGATGCTGGGGGAATGGCGAAACACCTAAACCAAGACATGAGCACCAGGGGACAGAGGTGATGGTGCAAAGGGAGAGGGTTGTGACCCATGGGGTGCTGCTGGGTGGAAAAAGTTGCCACCACTGCACTTAAATTCAATGGCAGTTCAGCCCTTGACTTCAAGGGTAACCAAATTCTGACCAAGGAACATCATCGGGTGTTCAAGGCCAGGTTGGACAGGGCTTGGAGCAACATGGTGTAGTGGAAGGTGTCCCTGCCCATGGCAGAGGGCTGGAAATGGATGAGCTTTAAGGTCCCTTCCAACACAAACCAGTCTGGGATTCTATGATTCTGACAAAGTCCTGCCAAAGGGGCAACTGTGGGAGCATGTCTGGGGCAATGCTGATCACCCCTCTCCCCACACCTGTTCAAGAAGACCTGTGCTCTGACCAGGGATGGAAAAGGCAGCAAAGCCTGGATGATGCCTCACTGTGCAGGAAGGCAACACCCAAGCCAGTTTCTCCCTGCCCCGGATGTTTGCTGGCTTGGGGCACCCTGGCATCGTGACTGCCTTGGAGAACAGAGACCACAGTGTCATTTCCCCATCACCCAGGCGCAGGGCCGCTTCCTCCTCTGCAGTCACAGGGCTGTGAGCTGGCAGCCCAGTGCTATAACTCCAATGGCTCCTCTGCATCAGCCTATGCCCAGTGTCCATGGTGCTGCAGCCGGTGCTGCCCCTCTGCTCCAAAGCATCCTTCACCCCTGGCTCCACCTTGTCTGGCCTCCTGTGTGCCCTGGGGACCATGTGTGCCACCTCCAGGGTCACCAGCTGCATGGTCCCATGTCAAGGAGCATGAGATCCTGAGGCCATGTGGATGTGGAGTGACCTACTGGATGGGACTGCTTGCAGTCCTGCCCCCAGGTGTGGATGTTGCTCCTAGCTCCAGGCTCCCAGTATCCATTGGACTCACTGGATGTACTGAGCCAGGCAGCCCAGAGCTACTGACCACCAGGGTTGTGTCTCCCAGATGACAGTGGCCATCAGCTTGCCTCAGGCCTGGAAGAGCATGGCGGGGTTGGGGACTTGGGAATGGCCCCAGCTTGCTCCCGCACAGCATCCTGGATAGGACGAGGCAAGGGTGATGATGGGAGCACATCAAGGAAAACCCACACAGGGAGCCGCTCCAGGGAGGTGCTTGAGAGAATCAAATAAAAGCCACTGAAAGGAATCGCCTCTCTCATCTTTTGCAGGTAGGAGAGACGCACTCAGCAGCCGGAGGTGGCAGAGCTGAAGACAGAGGGTTACATTTTTAAGCCTACGACGTCCTTTAATTCATTCCTCGTGATGCTATAGATCTCCCTTGTGAGAAGGCGAGAAAGGAGAGAAGCACGAGCTCCATGGCCATGGGTTCAGTGATCCTTGGAGATAGGCAGAGACCAGCTGGTGCTCACAGCAGAGGCTGAATGCTGCATACTGAGACCTATTGCTGGTCCCTCACTGCTCAGACTCTCCCCCACCTAACTCTGAACCCACACTTCTTGAGCCATCTCCAAACTATGAGGATGCCTGTGCCCCCTGCCACAGGGGCTGTGCCCACAGTGTGACCTCCGAGGAGGAAACAAACCTGCCTCAAGGACATGGCCTCATCCCCTGGGCCCAGCACAGGGGCACTATTGGGGATCAGCCCTCTGGGGACCCTGGTCAGCACCCATACATGGGCATCCCCTCCCCAGCACCCAGGGTGCGGGGGAGGGCACAGCCCTGCAGCACCTCACCCACCTCCTCCTTGCACCTTCCTCCTCCTCCTTGCCTCCGCCCTGGCTCCGTGGTCCGGTGCTGGGGAGCACAAGAGTCTGAGGCCATGTGAATGTGGAGTGACCCACAGCAGGGGATCACAGGCACGAACCCATCTCCAGGCTGCTGGGGCCACGTCTTGCCCAACACCTGCACCACTGGGTGTACTTCCTGGGGCTGGGGGGGCTACCAAGCAGTCTCCAGCCCAGCTGATAGCATGCGCTGTGCCAGCCTCCGGGGCACGGGACACCTTTTGGGGGCATCTCTGCTCAGCTCTTCTCATGAGCCCTCCCTCTGTGCCCACCCATCCATCCGTCAATTGCAGGGAAAACAGGCCCAGGCCCCTGTGTTGTTCCGCTGGCTGTGCCTTCACTTCGTCCCAGGGAAGGGGATAGGGGATGAGCCATGGGGTCGTACCGGGCACGCAGCCCTGGGAGGCAGTGGCACCCTCACTTCGCATACAGGGATGTCGTACCCCACCCTACCCTCTCCGCGATGGGCGCAGCAGCTCCCCGTGCCCCGGGGGACGGGAGCTGGGGAAGCGGTGACGGGGGACAGGACACACGGACACTCACCGATCTTGGCTAGGCTGGCCACTAGGATCCAGGCGGCCACCAGGCAGGGCGCCTGCACTTCCTGCCACTGCCACCGCAGCAGCTCAACGCTCGCCGGGGCGGCGGGACTAGGGGAGGCCGTCTGCGGCTGCATGGCCGCATCCCTCCGCGCCGTTCCTGCCGCTCCTCGCCGCTCTGCCGCGGTACCGGCCCTTGCCGCGTCACGCGCACATCCGCGCCGGGCCGGCCCCCTCCGCCACCGGCTCCGCCAGCCCCTCCCTCCCGCCAACCCTCTCGGTATTGCCGGGAGCCCCGGTACTGGCTTGCACACCCCGCGCACTCTGCTCCGCCGCGCCCCGACTGCGCCAGTCCCGCTCCCCTCCAGTGTCCCTGCACCACCTCCGCTGTTACGCTGCCACACCTCGGCCCCCTGAGCCAAATCCGGTTCCACCCCCCTATCAGCCTGGTGCCGCTGGGGTCGCGGTACCCCCCTACCCCATGCCAAACCCCTGCCCTACTCCTCCCTGCAACTTCTCTGGTGCCACCTGCATCACTCTGGTGTCCCCTGCCCTGCTCCTCCCTGATACCATACCCGTGCCTCCTGCATCACCTCAGTGCCCCGTGTCCTCCACTGGCACCCATGCTCTGCCCAAGTCCCCTCACCCTGGTTCAGTCCTCCTGCACCCATCATGTTCTCAATCTCCTCAGTCCCCCTCCTGCTGCCAACCAAGACCACCCATTCCTGCCCCAGCCGCTGCCTGAGCACTAGTCTGGAAGCATTCCAAAGGGGTCCCGCTTCCCTCCTCAGCCCCTCTTAGACACCCCTAAAAGCTCCCACTTGCCCACCAAACCTAGGCTGTCCACTCTGCTCCAGGAGCTGCCCCATCTCCCTCATCCCATCTCTGTGGTCCCAGATCCAGGGCCTCATGGCCTGGGCAGACAGTGAGGGATGCCCAGCAGCCTGAGGAGCAGTGATGCTGCCTGGCAGAGGGCAGGAAGGCGTGGTATCAGCACACTTCATGGGGAGCCAGCTCTGAGCTGCATCCGTGTGTCCCTGGAGCATGGACAGAAGGACACCTTGTCTGTGGAGACACAGAAAAAGCCTTGCAAGGGCTGCCCTGAGAAGCCGCTGCCTCCTGTTTCCCCTTTAAGCTGCCAAAGGTTTAATTAAATCCCCCTTTGCCTTGCCTCCCACAGGCTGGTCCTGCCCTGCTGCCCTGGCCTCTTGGACCCAGCCTGTGCTACTGCATGGGGGTCTCTGCAAAGCTCCCCCAGTCTGTTCACACCTCTCTCCTACTGGGAGCCAAGAGAGAGGGGAACACCACTTCACTGTGTTGAGCTATTTGCACTGCCCAGTATGCAATCAAAAAGGTCAAATCACCTTTGCTAAAGCTTTTCCTTGAAGGCTTGTGCTTTGTGCTGAGTCCATGGGAGATGAAATCTGCCCATGTCCCCATTCCTGGTGCAGCCGTGCTTCTTCTGGGGATCCTCCCAGGGGTTCTGGCTCCCCTTTGCATCCTCCTTCCCAAACTCACCATACAACACTACTCTGTCCATTTTGGATGTTCTCGTTAACATCGATACCCTGCATGCGCAACGATCTCGTTTGTATCAACACCGGGCTTGGAGGCACTGGGCTGCCCCGCTGGCCCCCAGCTCTGGGGTAAGACCCACCGGCACCACGGAGCCCCACGGAGCCTGCTGGAGCATCCCCCAGACTCCCCTGGAGCCCCCCGAAGCATCGCGGGAGCGTCCCCTGGACCATCCCCCGGAATCCTCCGAATCTTCCGCCGGATCCCTCCAGAGTATTCCTGGAGCCTCCCCTACAGCGTCCCCCGGAGCATCCCCGGGAGCTGCCGGGCGGCCGCGGGAGGGCGCCCCGAGCGGTCCGTAGCGGAGGGGGCGTGGCCGGGAGGGGGATGGGGGCGTGGTCACCGGAGGGGGTGTGTTCGGTGGGGTGGGCTCAGACGGGGGCGTGGCTTCCTGCGCTGCTCCGGTGGCGGAGCGGGGGCTGCGCTGGTGGCGTCATGGCGGAGGTGGTGGTTCAGTGCCGGATCCAGTACCTGGAGGACTCGGATCCCTTCGGCTGCGGCAGCTTCCCGGAGCCACGGCGAGCCCCGGTTTATGCCGTGGTGGAGGCGCTGCCCCTTGGGGCGCAGCTGCCCGCGCTGCACCGCCTGGTCGGGACTCCGCTGCCGGTGAGGGGGAGCCACGGGAGGGCGGGGAAGGCGGGCAGGTACAGGGCTGGAGTCGGGAGTGGTCTGGAAGGAGCACGGAGGGGAGGTGAGGGACTGGGCAGTGTGCCCCCGCCGGAGCACGGACAGCGCTCCCGGTGTGAGTCACGGCGGAATCCGTGAGCCCTCTGCGGGAGATGCCGGTTCTCGGCCGGCACCGGATGAGTCGGCGGAGAGGAAGAGAATGTGCTTGCTCAGAGCAGTCAGGAACCCGGGCAAAGGGAAGCAGGATGAGGGCACGTGTCCATTCCCATCTCGTCGGGGCTGACCCAGGCAGCGGTCTCCTATCCCAACATCCACCCTTCACACTCCGTTCCAGGAGTAGAGCCGAGCCTCGAAGGGAGCACACCGCTCCCTGACACTGGGGGGACCGGGCCAGTATCCCCACTCACTGCAGCCCGTGAGCTTTGGGGAGGTGCCGGTGGGGCCGGAGGACCCGCAGCCCTTCACTCTGCCAGTCCACCGGCAGTCTTTAGCGGAAACTTGTGCTGAGCAATTTCCTCCGTCCAGGAGGAAGGCAGGAGGCCAAAGCGAGGCTCCATTTCTTGCTTGTGTGGCCTCAGGCCTGCTCCAGGCTGGGTAAAAGAGGCTAGGGAGAAGAGGAGTCGGGGGACCTTCCCTCTGGGGTGTCTTGTTGGAGTGATGCTGTCAGAGCATCCTTTACAGGGTGGGGATAGGCGTGTTTTCTTTAATGCGTGTGGACCAGCAGAGCTTTGGCAATGGCTGAGCATCTCTTGTCTTGCAGCACAGCAGGAGTGCAGGCAGGAACCCAGGCAGGCAGGGGCAATGTACCCTGCTCATAGCTGGAGAGGACAGATGGAGGCAGCAGGAGGGGGAAATCAGTTCCATGTGCCTGGCACTGAGCTTGCTGCCCTGCCAGGGAGAGGGGATCACTGCGAGACTTTTGCCTGCACCACAAAACATTCCCTTTTAACCCACTTTTCATTTTCCTTGAAGCAAAGTGTCAGTGTCTCATGTCATCGTCATCATGGGATTTTTAGGTGGTGACTAAATGGAGTTTGTTTGGGAACAACTAGCCCTGAGACATGACGAATGGAGCAAACTCAAATTTCAGGCGTGTGCTCTCCTCCCAGGCAGAAGCTGGCTGTAACGGGATCACCATCCGGGGGTGCTGTGTGGTGACATGGGGGGGCTGGGTATGGCGTTCCCTAGGACAGGAGTGCTGCAAAGAGGTCCTGTGCGCAGCAGAGGCATGTTGATCTGGGATTTCAAGCTTTGTTCTCTGCCTAAGTCAAGTTCTGGATATTTTTTTATCTGTAGTTTTCCTACATCTTGTAACTCTTGGTGACATTTGCAAATAGGACCCTGCTTTGGGTTTATAAGCCAGAGTCCTCATTTATATGAGTTATATAGGTTATAAACCATGATCCCTTTATTACGTAGAGCTTTCTGAGCCACAGCCCAGCCTGACAAGTTGGGATGCTGGCTGGGATTTGCATGAGACAATGTGTTCATTGGGAGCCTCTGCACGGAGATTTACAGCCTGCGGAGCAAGGTCACTATCCTGAGCCACCTGGTTCAATCCAAATCCAGAGCTGGCACCCCGGAACTGCTCAGATGACATTACACTGGTACGATGAGCAGAAACGTCCCTTGGTGCCCCTCGTGCCAGGTGGTGCTCAGCTCCATTACTCACTGCCCTAAAATTAGTAAATGAACAGTCGGATTTTTCCCAAGGAACTGGCTGTTAATAAAAATCAGCCAGGGGTGCCTGGTGCCAGGCTTGTCCTGCAGGGCAGCATGCCCAGAGCTGAGCAGCACAGGGAGGAGGATGCAATGGCTGGGAGAATGCAACCAGAGGTCCCTACATCACCAAAGGAGGATGAACTATAGAGCCCATGGGGTTCTGTCGTGGGGGCTAGTGGCATCCTGCCCTCCCTGGGCACAGGAGAGCTGCTCCCAGCCCTGGGAACAGCCTGGAGAAGATGAGCAGGAGGTTTCTCATGCCAGTATCACTGCCTTGAACAGCCTGTCCTGCCCCATGACACCCCCAGTGCTTCCTCTCCTGCAGCTCAACCCACCGCTGATGACTTTTTCATGCTCTCCGGAAAATGTGTTTGTGCTTGGAAATACCTTCCTGCTTTGTTTGTGCTGCCGCATTGTTCAGCTACGGGCTGATACTATCTTCTCCTGCTCTCCAGCATTTTTCTAGTACCCTTGGGTGATGCTCGTGCTGGGCGTGGGCCTTTTCTGAACCTCCACAAGCAGGTTTTGACAGGGAAGGTCCCCAGATGCTGCTGCACTCCCTTGCCCCAGAGATCTAGGGATTTTTCCAAATAATTGCATAACCCAGGGGCTGGAGCATTACTTTCCCCTTCCCCCACTGGAAACCCAGGGAAAAGCAAACAGCTCTCTGTCCTTGGTGCCATAAGCTCACTGCAAGCTCTCAGGCTTGATAGAGGAGAGCTGCTAGTGCACTTACAAGGTGCATGAGCCCCGTCCCACCAGCCCCATTGTCCTCTATTTCCTAACTGGCTCAAGGGGAGCTTTGCTCTGGTTCACCTCAGACAGGCATGGAAGTGGTGAGATGGGGTCCACAGCAGCACTTTGAAACTGCTGTTTGCTTCTTGCCAAATGGTTAGGGCCAGGTGCTGGTCCTCAGCAGCCTCTGGCGATTCCCAGCTCCTAGCAGTGTCCAGGTCCCAGGGTGGGAGTTGTAGCCAGGCATGCATTCCATGGGGTTGCCGGAGTGCCAGCAATGGAGTGCCAGCTCCAGCAATCCTCTGGTTGCCTTGGGTCTGTTGATGAGAAACGTGGCTCTGTTAACGAGCAACAAGCCTGGCTGGAGGAGCAGCAAGGACCGTTTGCGAGCAGGTGTGCAGTTCTGGGCCAGCTCTGGGTGACCTCCAGAGACCCCTCCTGGCCCCGGGATGGATTTTTACCCCCATGATAAGGTAATGGCAGTGCTCCCATCCACTTGCTACCATCCATCAGATAGGTGCAGGCAGGACCAAAAGCCTGCCAATAAACAACCTTCTGAGCCCTGAAACGGAATGCACTTGGTTGCTGGTTGGGGCTGTCTTGTGTTTAACTCCTCCTTCAGCTGCAGCAAATATTAGATTTTTTTTTCTGTATTTCCCCCATGGCCTTCCTAGAAGAGCTGAAGCAACACGAGCAAATTGTGGTCAGTGCAGAAAGAAAGTGTCGGAGAAAGGGGAAAATGTTTCCTCCGCTGGCAGATAAAGAGGATATTCACTGCCCAGCCATGGAGCATTCTCCCGTGTGGGAATGCCATGATATGGGTGAGCAGGAAGACATGATGCCATGGTGCGTGGCACCAGTTAGGTTGTGGGTGGAGGATGTCTCCATCACATCCCATGGTTCAGGGGGCAGCCCCATCCTGAGGGGAGCTGGCTTTCCCTGGGAAATCATTTGCCTGGCATGTATGTCATTGCTGAACTGCAAAGCCAGCCACAACACTAGAGGTTGGTAGAATCAGGGAGATCCATGTGTTCCTGCCTTCCCCATGTCTCAGGTCTGAGGCATCAGCATAGGTAGAGTGGGGCTTTCTTAACACAGGCAAACCCCTCTCTGGACCATGGGGTCCTGGTCCCACACTGGGGCTGGCACCAGCACTTTGTCCTCAGGGAGACACCAGAACTTCCCCATGTAGCAGATGAGGGGCATCAGTACTGCTGGGGGTGCACGGGCCTCCTTGGAGCCTCGGGCTGGAGGTGTGAGCGTGGGATGCTCTCCTTCCCCTGCAAGTCCCTATGACACTTGAAGCTCAGCTCATTTTAAAATGGATTTACATGCAGGAGGCAGATAGATCAGAGCTGCCCCACGCCAGGATCTGTCTTTACCCCATGACCCCAGTGTGCTGTCCCCAGCAGCACAGCCCCGAGGTCCCAGCTCAGAGCCTCAGCTGGTGCTCCCTGGGGTGGAAATGCTGTCCTGAGATGTTTGGCAGGGCAGCATGAGCCTGGGACAGCCTGTCCCATCCCCGGGGGCTGCTGCTTGCCAGGGGGGGTGCAGCCAAAGCTGGGCCCAGCTCTTGGAGCATCCCTCGTGGGGAGCGCTGCCAAGCTCACACGGGAAACATGCGGGGTCGAGTCCCAGGGGCTTGGCCTACCCCACCAGCTGGGACATGTCACTGGCCTCAAGAGGAGCTGGGGATGTCAGCTCTGGCTTGCTGGGGTTCTGGCTGCCCAGAGAAGGCAAAGCTTTTGTGCTGGAGCTGTGAGAGTTGCTTTGTACTGTATTTGAGTGCCCAGGAGGATGCAGTGGTGCCTGGGAGGATGTGGGAATGCCTGAGGAGATGCCTGACAGGATGTGGGTATTCCCAGGAGGATGCAGAGATGACTAAAGGGGTGGTTACGAGGTTACAAAGATGCCCAGGAGGATGTGGGGTTGGCTGAAGGGATACCCAGGGGGATGCAGCCTAGGAGGATGCAGGGGTGCACAGGAGGACACATGAATGCCTGGAAGAGTCTGTCCCTGTGGAGACACTGAAGATTTCCCCTGCATCAAACCCTGCATGGGGCTAGCATGAGCAAACACCCTACACAGAGGCAGGGCTAGCAGCCGAGAGTGCAGCCGAGGACAAGCCTGTGTTTGGTGCAGGTTGCCATGGCTGGCTGGCATGGCCAGCAACTGCTGGAGGTGGAGTAGGACGCTATGAATATGAACAACCCAGCAGCAGTGCCCTGCCAAATTGCTTCTTATCCAAGGCTTAGTCAGAGTTGTTAATGGTGTTAATGCACGTGGCATTTCTTCCTTGCCCTCAGGTTTACTGTCACGTTCACAGTGAAGTCATGTGAGCTCTTGTGACTTGAGGACGTGGGGCTTCATGGAAAGCAATCCCAGTGAGATGCAGGAGCCATACCCAGCACTGCTGTGGGTCACTTGAGGGTGGCCAGGGCCATGGTGGTGAAAGGCATTGGTGGTAAAGGCAGAGAAGCTGTGACCATCTCCTTGGCCACAGGTTGTGCAGTTTGGGGCTGAAATTGGGGTGGGTTTTTAAGTAACTGATGAGCCCCACTTCTCTTCCCTGGTTGCTGCTTGTGCTGCTTGCTCTTTTTGGCAGCAGTAGTAGCATTAATCATGGGGTTTTATCCCTGATGCTCAGCTCCCCAGGTGGTTACACAGCAACTGCTGTGGGCAGTTGGGAAGGAGCATCAATTCCTTAGAGGTAGGGTGAGGGGTGTACTACAAATGCTTTAGGAACAGGTCCAGATGTGCAGGGTACTGGCAAGACCAGGCAGGCATTTGCGCTCCCTTTGCCCCTACATACACCTTGAGAGCAAATTGCTCCCATCAGGAGCTCACCCAGGATCCCTGGGTGCTGTAGGGTGCTGCTGGGTCCCAGGCAGTTCAGGGGCTCTGGAGCACCCCCAGGTGATGTGCCCGCCTGTCAGGGTGCACCATGGGTGCTGTACGTGGACTTTTAAGGGAGATGGCCTCACCCTAGCCTTGCCTTGGGCTGTGCTTTTCTGGGTCAGTCGGCTGGAAGATGCTGCATGGCTGTAGGCTGAGCCAGAGGCTGCGTCACCGGGGGACACCCCTGTGGGGTTTTCGCCTGTTTGGGGTGTCCTCTTGTGTGCCTTGGTGGTTCTCACAGACCCAGTCTGTGCAGATGGAGGCAATTCATCAGCCCAGGCGAAGGCACCAGCCCTGGGAGGAGGCAGGTCCTGCCCTGGTGCCCCAGGGGTGCAAATCTGCCAAGGAGCCTGGCACTACCCTCGCTCTGCCTTTTCCCAGCCTGGGGCTCCATGTTTTTTCTGTTTGCCATTGGAGGGTGCCAGAGCATCTCCCCATGGATCCAGGATGGGATCTGCCACCCTGCTGTGGGATGTGGCTGCTGGGTGTGCTTGGTGTGTGCAGGAGGGTGACCCAGGGATGCTGCATCCTCTGGAGCCGGGTGGGCACAGGGGCTCAGCCAGGCTATCTGCATCCCCAGCTGGAGGACTGCACACTGCAGGTCTCACCCTCTGGGCACTACCTGGACCTTGACTTATCCCTGCTGGAGCAGAAGGATGATCTGGAAAGTTTCTACGAGGAGGTCAGGTGAGGCACATGGGGTGGCCCAGCCCTCCAGGGATGGGACACGGGGACCTCATGTGCGTGTGAACAATGGGAACCATGGTGATTCCAACTGCAAATGCTCACAAAGTTTCCCGTGTCCCTAGGAAGGGGAGACGGCCAACCCTGATCCTTCGCACACAGCTCTCTGTCCGAGTCCATGCCATCATTGGTGAGTCCTCCTCCGGCAGCTTGTCCCCCTCTCTGGGTGGTGGCTTGATCTCTGCCAAGAGTTTTGGACAGGCTTTTTGTGATGGAAAGAGGGAGCAATCAGCCCAGGGCTGCTTCTGCTCCATAACCTGTCCCTGAGATTCAGGGACATGGACCCCATGAGGCTGGTGGGGACCTGCTGGGTTAATCCCCTGCATCCTCAGAGATCAGGATTTTTGCCCTTTGGGCTGGGAGCCCACCACCCACTGCAGATACTCCGGGTCATTCAGGCAAGCTCTAAATATAGCCTTGCAGGATGCAAATAAATAGTTTTGCGCAGCAGAAAGTGCTGCTGCACCTTGGGGCTGCCTGCTCGGAGGTCCTGCACAATGCTCAGGAGTGCCGAAGCCTCTTTCCTCCTTAGCAAGAGGGGAAACAAGCGCTGAGCAGAGAATGCTGGCCGGGCATCAGCTGGCCAGGCAGGGCTGCAGCCAAGCCTGAGTGACGCGGGAAGGGTCAGGAAGGCCAGGATAGGGGTCATGCTCTTTGTGAGCAGTTCCCAGGCTCAGACTGAGCTCTGGACTGTCTGCTTTCCCTCTGGGCTGCTCTGTTTTCCCTCTGGCTGCTGTGACAAGCTGATAAGTGAGCAGAGGAGGCTGCTGGGACCTCATGTTTTACAGAGCCCTGTCAGCATTACTGGAGGGTTCCTTGCACAGCTTGCTTCTGGCTTGTTACACGCATAAGCCTGACCCAAATAACTGGGGATGCTCAGATAACTCGAGCTTTGGATGCAGGAAGTGCTGACTCCCAGTGGCTTTGGTCTGCACATTTGTTTTAAGTGGAACTTTCCAGTTTCCCATTGCCCTGGCTGTTCCGTGCAGGCTCCTGCCTGCAGGCACCATCCCCATAAGCACATAGTCTCCTTCCCAGTGTCTGTCCTTCTGTCCCCGAGCCAGTGTCATGCTGCCATCCTTCCCATCCCCATCCTGCAGCTTTTCCCAAGCTGTGGGGCTGCTGGGAACTCCAGGATCAGGGCAAATGTGTAAGGAGTGATGGCTAAAAGTAGCTCAACCTCTTGCCCTTGTTCCTGTTTCGGTTATGCACAGGAAACCAGAGGAGATTCTTATGTCATTGCCGGGCAGAAAAAGGCGGCACAACGAAAGGAAATTGGAAGGTGGCATGGCTGAAATAAGTAGGGGTGTTGCTGCAGCTGCCTCCACCCGGGGGCAGTGCCGGCATCATGGGATGACAGCACAGGGTTGAGTTGAGTTGAGGGGCTTTCCCAGGCAGCTGGCGGCATTCCAGAGCCCCGATTCAACGTCAGTCCTTTTGTTCCAGAGAAGCTGTACAACTCGCAAGGGCCGGAGCTGCGGCGATCTCTCTTCTCCCTCAAGCAGCTTTTTCAGGTACAGTGATGCTGGTGGGGCCCAGGGGGGGGTTCCCTGGGGTTTGGCAGCCCACGCCTGCCTCCCCACACTGCGGTAACACCTGGCCTTTGGCCTGCAGGAGGACAAGGACCTGGTGCCGGAGTTTGTGAACCTGGATGGGCTGACGTGCCTGATCAAAGTGGGGGCAGAGGCTGACCAGAACTACAAGAATTACATCCTCCGGGGTTGGTGTTTGGGCACCTCTCATCCCTAGGGAGGAAGACTGGCACTTGGAGGGGGGTGAGGCAGCCCCCTCCAAGAAAAGCCCTATCCCTGCTGCGCTGTGACCCTGCCTGCTCTCTGCCTTGCAGCCTTGAGCCAGATCATGCTCTTCGTGGATGGGATGCAGGGTGTCATCAACCACAACGAGACTGTCCAGTGGCTCTACACTCTGTCAGGAAGCCCAGTAAGCTCCTGTTGCCCTGGGGGCTGCCTGTGTCCCTCACTGCACCCTTCTTCCCTGCCTGTGGCTGTCTCCTTGCACTGTCCCATAGGGGATTTATCCCATCCTTTTCCTTTGGGCTCAGTGCCCTTTGTATGTGTTGGGTTCTGCTCCCAACGATTTGGAAGCCATGCAGGTTTCTGGAGCTCCCCATCCTGATGTGGCCATGCTCCTGGGCAGAGAGTTTGAGCAAAAAGGTCCCACTCCAGGTGCCTTCCCAGTGCCCATTGCCCATCAGCATCATAGCTGCAGGCCAGTCTGTGGTCCCATGGCAGAGCCCCCAGCCCCAGAGCATGGTGACCCAGCAGACACCGCTGCCATCCCAGCCACTGTCCCTTGTCCCAGTATCGCCTGGTGGTGAAGATGGCTCTGAAGCTGCTGCTGGTGTTTGTGGAGTACACAGAGCCCAATGCCCTGCTTGTCATCCACGCCGTCAATGCCGTGGACCAGGCAAGAGGTGGGTGCAGCAGCAGCCTCTGCAAGGTCCCCACCGGGGGACAACATATGTGTGTGTGTGTCCTTGTCCCGTGTGTCACTGGCATGGGCTGTTTTTCCTAGGAACCTGTCCCTGGTCCAACCTGATGGCTGTCCTGGAGCAACGCAATGGGGCTGACACAGAGCTGCTGGTCTTTGCCATGACACTGATCAACAAGGTCCAGGGGGGTGGCAGGGTGTCCCTGTGGTGCCACAGTGGCAGGGCTCAGTGTGGGTCACACTGGCCTCACCACCATCCTTTTGGTCCTGCTTAGACACTGGCAGCCCTCCCAGACCAGGATACGTTTTACGATGTGACGGACTGCCTGGAGCAGCAGGGCATGGAACAGGTGGTGCAGCAGTTCCTAGGCAGCAAGGGCACCGACCTTGACTTGAAACACCAGTTCACACTCTACGAGGTGAGTGTGGCTCCTGTGGGGTCTGACCATGCACCATGTCCTGTGGCAGCAGGGAGGGCAAGTGGGGGGGTGGTGGGGCTGACGTGCCCTCCTGTTCCCTCCACAGAGCGCTCTCAAACTGGAGGATGGTGTGGAAGAGCCACCCTCAGGGGGACGCAAGGACCGGAGGAGGACAGACGAGGGCCGGCGTGGGTGGCGATTCCAGGCCGGCTGCCCAGAGCCTGGTCCTGATGCACAGCTTGGGTCCCCTGGAACCCCAAAGGAGCCCCCCACTGAGGAGACCCCAGCTGTCCCCATGCTGAGCAGCCCAACAGAGTAAGTTTGGCTGGAGGTGGCCCAAGGTGGGAATGGTCCCAGGACTCTTTCATCAGGGTCTGTAGCAATATGACAAGGGGTGATGGGTTTAAACTGAAGCAGGGAAAGTTCAGGCTAGATAGAAGGAAGAAGGTCTTTACTGTGAGGGTGCTGAGGCCCTGGCACAGGTTGTCCAGAGAAGCTGTGGCTGCCCCATCCCTGGCAGTGTTCAAGGCCAGGTTTGATGGGGCTTGGAGCAACCTGGTCTAGTGGAAGGTGTCCCTGCCCATGGCAGGGGTTTGGAGCTGGATGAGCTTTAAGGTCCTTTCCAACCCAAACCAGTCTGGGATTCTGTTTCTATGGTGAAGATGCTGGGATACAGTGTGAGCAGTGCTCAGGTCCATTCTCAGTGCCAGGGTGAGGGCAGCTCTGCAGGACTTGCCCTCATTCCCTGTCACCTCTTTCTCCAGCCTGTGTCCCAGCAGTGTCTTCAGCAGCGCGTCCAGCGTGCAGCTCACACTGGCCTCCCCACCGGCTGACAAGGAGCAGCCTCCAGCCCCAGGCGAGCGCAGTGTCTACAGGTAGGGAGCCAGGAGGGGCTGGGTGCACAGGGGTCCCCCCGGGGTGGCATGGGGGCTCCCAGGAGTGTGGGGTGCACCTGTGTCAACACAGGGAAACAGGGTCTAGGTAGGCACCAGGGATGGAGAGAAGTGTAACAGGGGGAGCAGATGTCTGAAAGGGACCGGCCAGGGGCTCCAGGGCATCCTTCACACGTGCACAGCTCCTCTCCAGCAACTCCTCACTCTTCCTCTTGTCCACGCTTGACCTCTTCTCTGCCTACTCTTTTCTATCTTTCCTTTTGCAGGCTGCGCCAAACTGCCCCTGTCTGGTAAGTGCCTGGGCTCTGCATGTGTGTGCTTCTTCCCAGAGTGATGCTCTGGCAGGAACGGGCACTGTCCTGCCCCACTTGCTGTTCCCATCCCTCACCTCTCCCCTCTGGCCCCCATCATCGAAGGGTGACAGCACCTTCTTCTCCCCACCTTCTAGGGTGAGATGTCCCTCTGGGGCTGGCAGGGGCCTGACATTGCATTCCTGGTGGCAAACTGGGTGGCTCTGGTGCAGTGGATGCTGCACCATCTCACCAACACCTAATGCCATTTTGTGCCTGGGCAGGAAGGGATTTGCTGGGCATCTCCCGGCTCCCCAGTGCCATGGGGTGACAGCAGGACAAGGGTCCCATGCTGGAGGGCTGTCAGAGGGGGTGTGCAGGAGGAGCGAGCCCAGGGGATCTGGCAGCAGTGGGGGCTAACCCCTATTTTCCCTCAGGCGGGAGGATGACCCCTCCTTGCATGGGGACAAGCCTATTTTGAGGAGGTTTGAGTAAGTAGAGGCATGCGTGTGTCTCCAGGTGTGTGTTTCCTTTGGCCAGCGCCTGCTGGAGGCTTCTGGCCTCTGGCCACACAGGGCATGCAGAGCAGGACAGTCCCCACAAATCTCTGCCTGGGTTTTGTAGCTTTTGGATGAGGGTTGCAGTGAGCACCAGGTCTGCTGGGGCCAAAAGGTGACAAAGACATGAGCCTTTGGCTCTCATGGGACTGCAGCATCTCTGTCCCCAAGCTTTGGTGGCATCATCTGCCTCTTTGCAGCACTTAGAGGAGGTTGAATCCTCCATGTTCCTGATGTTGTGTGGCCCAGGCAGGGGGTTTCTGTGCTGTGGGGCTGGCTGTGCAGTGTGACATGGCATGGTTTGCCCATTGTCCCAATCATCCCCATCCCTGCCTTGCTCCTGGCCAACATCTGCCCCTGTCTTGCAGAGCTCGCTTCCTGGAGAATCTGGCTGCAGCCCAGAAGGACAAGATCTCTTCCATGACCAAGGGACGGCTCAATGTCTTCAGTGATGCTGCCCTGCAGCATCCCACCACTCTCGCTTGGGACAGGGATAGCAGTGCCCCTGAGTCCAGCATGGAGACACCCAACACAAGTAAGTGTTTCCAGGGTATGTGTTGCTGGCTCTGGGCTCATTGGGGTCCCCATAATGGGCATTAGTGGCCTTTCTGCCCCCAGCCCATGCCTGATACTCAGAGCCATGGAGAAGCTGGGTGGTGCCTCCCTGTCCCACTCCGAACACCGGCATCCGAGCACAGCCCACCAAGGAGCAGGACCCCAACTCTATGTGCAGCCCAGCACAGTTACCACAGCCTCTACCCCTCTCCCTGCAGGGTCTTGCCTGGCTCAGCAGGACACCACTGATTCCTGCAGCACCATCTCCTCTGACACCAAGTTCATGCTGGACATGCTCTACGCTAAAGGCTCCTCAGAGCCAGGGAGGGAGAAGATCTCCCCTGAGGTCTCCTCATCTGCCCTGGTCCAGGGTGAGGTGGTGATGGATACCGTTGGAGGTGGCAGCCAGGAGCAGGAGGGTTCCTGGTCCCATGGCAGGGCTCCAGATGGGCTGGTGGCCAGTGCTCATGCCAAGCTAGCGCGTGCCATGTCCAGCGTAGATGCTGAGACCCACACACAGAAGTTGGAGAACACTGGGATGATGCCCATCAAGAAGGATGTGGAGCTGACATGGGAGCGCCTGGAGGCCAGCCCTGCACAGCTGAAGATCAAGGACCTGGACTTTACTGATCTGGGGGAAGAAGAAGACTTTGACATCCTGGACACGGGGCCAATAACCAATGGCTCCTTGCTCCCTCCCGCAATTGAAGTAACAAAAGCTGGAGCATTAATGGCTCCCCCTCCACCTCCTGCTGTCCTTGGCTGCCCACCACCTCCACCTCCACCTCCTGCATTTTCTGGCTGCCCACCACCTCCACCTCTTGCTGTCCCTGGCTGCCCACCTCTGCCAGGGCTGCCAGGCCCTTCCATAATGGATGGTCCCTCTGAGGCCAAGAAGAAGACAGTGAAGCTCTTCTGGAAGGAGTTGAAGCAGCTAGATGGCACTGTGGGGACAGGCAGGTTTGGCCAGGCGACGCTGTGGGCATCCCTGCAGAGCGTTGAAGTCAATACTGCCAAACTGGAACATCTCTTTGAGTCACGGTCAAAGGAAGTACCAACTTCAAAGGTACCCATGGGCTGGTACCCATCAGCCAAGGGGAATTGAAGGGTGGGAGGAAGGCTGTTAATTCCTCTGGGGACCCTAGGCATGCACTGTCACCCCTACCCTCTGCTGATGATGTGTACCTGCAGCCTGGAGACTTGGCAGGGACAGTGATAGGCGGTGTGTGGGTTTGGCTTACCACCAGGTCTCTGATCAGCTCATTGTGTCCATTGTGTTTTCTTGAAGGAAGCCCTTTGCTTTCCTGTCCCCATCTATCCCGTCCTCTTTGCAGAAGGCCATTGATGGGAAGAAGGTGGTTGTGGTGCTGGACCCCAAGAGGAGCAACGCTATCAACATTGGCCTCACGGTACTGCCGCCTGTGCACATCATCAAGACAGCTGTGCTCAACTTCGATGAGTTTGCAGTCAATAAGGAAGGGATTGAGGTGAGCACAAGAGAAGCTTAGCCCCCCTGAGGTCCTTGTATAGGTCATTTCCCCCGGCCAGAAGGCCTGCCTGCCCCTGTCAGCCCTGAGTGACATATCTCATGGTGACATGTTTGGAGTCTGACACATCCCTCCTTGCTCTAGAAAATCCTGACCATGGTTCCAACCGAGGAGGAGAAGCAGAAGATCCAGGAGGCCCAGCTGGCTAACCCTGATGTGCCCTTGGGCTCTGCGGAGCAGTTCCTGCTCTCCCTGTCTTCCATCAGTGACCTCACAGCCAGGCTCCAGCTCTGGGCCTTCAAGCTGGACTATGAGAGCCTGGAGCAGGTACAGAGCCATGTACCCCATTGTGCCCTCCCAGCCCCAGCAGTGCTGAGCTCTGAGCCAAGTGGGGATGTGCCATGTCCAAGTACAGCAAGTGCCATCCTGGCTGGGGACGGGCTGCAGGTCTCCAAGGCAAGCACAGGCTTGGGTTGACCACATGGGCAAGAGCGAATGCTGAAGTTCCTAAGGGAGGGGGATGGCCAAGGGGTCTCATCTGCATCTCTCCTCTTCCAGGAGATTGCAGAGCCACTCTTTGATCTGAAGGTGGGCATGGAGCAGCTGGCTGAAAACCACACCTTCAAGTGCATCCTGGCCACACTGCTGGCCATGGGCAACTTCTTGAATGGCTCCCAGGTGAGAAGCAGGGTGTGGAGGGATGTGGCCTGTCTTGGGTGCTGCAAGCACGGGATGAGCCATGGTGCATGGGAGCTTGGGATGGCACCTGAGGCTGGGTGGTGCTGCTGGGTCTGAGGACTGGAGGTGGGCTGGAGGAGAGATGGAGAAGGACTTGCTGAGTCCATTGTGGTTTCAGAGCAGAGGCTTTGAGCTGGGCTACCTAGAAAAGGTCTCGGAAGTGAAGGACACAGTGCACCGGCAATCCCTGCTCCACCATCTCTGCCAGATGGTGGTAGAAAAGTTCCCAGAAACCACTGACCTCTACTCGGAGATTGCCTCCATCACCCGCTCTGCCAAGGTAAGGCAAGGCAGATGATACCTGCACAAGGCAAATCTGTGGGTCCCACAGCTGCCCGGCTCCACAGCATGGCCAAACGCTGACATCTTGCTCTACCAGGTTGACTTTGATGAGCTCGCCAACAGCCTGGTGCAACTGGAGCGGAGGTGCAGGGCCTCCTGGGACAACCTGAAGGTGATTGCCAAGCACGAGACCAAGCCAATGCTGAAAACCAAGCTGACAGACTTCCTCAAGGACAGCACCCAGCGCATCGTTGTCTTGAAGGTGGTGCACAGGCGTGTCCTCAACAGGTCAGTGCCTCAGGCCTTGGGGGCACAGTGGGTAACCCCCTTAGTCCCATCGATGGCCTGTCATGACCGGTGTCCCTGCAGGTTTCACTCCTTCCTGCTGTACCTGGGGTATCCGGTGAGTGCGGCGCGGGATGTGAAGGTGACTCCCATCTGCAAGTTGCTGCGGGAGTTTGCCTTGGAATACCGCACGTGCCGGGAGCGCGTCCTGCAGCAGCAGAAGAAACGGGCTGCCCACCGTGAGCGCAACAAGACCCGGGGACGGCTCATCACTGAGGTACAGGCACACTCGCCTGTCACCACCACCAAGTGTTGCCCACCAGGTCCCTGACGCCTGCATCTTCTCCCACTGTAGACAGAAAAGTTCTTCGGCATCACTGAGGCTGCTTCCCCACCTGCCGTGGTATCCAGCAGCCCCAAGGAGCAGATGGAAGCAGGTCATGAGAGCATGAAGAGCCTGCTGGCCTCTCCCACGGACAGCCCTGCCCGCCGCAGCCGCTCCAGCCAGGGTAGGAGTGGGGTGGCAGGGGCACACAAGGCATGCCCGGCTGGCTGGGCACAGCTGATGAGAGCATCCTGCTTGTCCTCTTGCAGGGACAGGGCACACCAGCCCGGCTCAGGGCTCTCCAGCCCAAGAGGATGTTCCCAGCTCCCCAGATGATGCTTCAGATGAAATCATGGACCAGCTGGTGAAGTCGGTCACTCACAACACCAACCCACGACCCTGTGCCAACAAGGAGCGCAGGAGGTCCCGTGGCAATAGGAAGTCGTGTAAGTTCCAGCCCTATCCCCATGCCCTTTACTGGCTCTGGTCTGTATGCTGTGCCTGTTTCCCTGTACTCTGTCCCATTTCTCTGTCTCTGTCCCACCTGTGTCCCTGTTTTTGTGCCTATTGCAGCTCTGTGTCTCTCTTCCCATGCTCTAGTATGTACCTGCACTTTGTCCCATCTCAGTGTCCCTGTCCCCATACCCTCTCCCACCTTTGTGGCCCTGTCCCTGTACTCTTTCCCATCTTTGCATCCCTGTCCCATCTCTGTGTCTGTACTCATGCTCTATCCCCATGCCTTGCCCCATCTCTGTCTCCTTGTTCCTATACCCTGCCTGGCTCCTTCCCTTCTGGCCACCCCTGATCTCCTATGTTGAGCCCACCAGCCCACAGCAGCTTGTACACTGAGTCCAGACTGTGCCACTGCCACCCCTCCCCAGTATGTCAGAGCTACCCTGTCCAGTGGGCACCCTGAGCCATCACTGCTCATGCTGCCAGTGCCACCCTCTCCTCTTCCCGCAGTGAGACGGACACTGAAGAGCGGGCTCAGCGATGACCTCGTGCAGGCACTGGGCCTGGGGCGGGCACCTGGCATGGAGGTTTGAGGGGGCTTGTGCTGCTCCCCACCACTGTAGGAGGTGGTGGCAGGTGCTCCAGGATTGGCATCCTTGGTCTCACCTTGCTTTTCCTTGCTGGCCTCCAGCTCCTGGTTGTGCAGGCAGCAGGATGGGAATGATGCCCTGGAGCTGCCTGCTTTATGGGGATAGAGGATGCTCAGTGCCTATGCACGGGCGTGAAGGCTCTGGGTTCATCTTCACAACAGTATTAAAGGGGTTAAGGGGCTGGACCCAGACCCCCTCTGGGAACTGGGTCTGGCCTATGGCCCCTGTGTTAATAAAGTAATTGACACGCTGCTAGTGTCCCGTATCTGTGCACTGGAGAGGCTGGGGTACCCTGTGCCAAACCTGGATTCGTGTCCCGGCTGCATCCCCAGCCCCGCTGTCCAGGAAAGCACTGGGCTTGCAGGGACCATCATCCCTCCCAGGGACAGTGCGGTCCCCTCTTTACCAGGACACAGGGGGAGACCCTGCCAGCCGGAGCAAGCACTGCTGCAAGCTCAAGGCTGCACGCTCAAGGACAGGAACAGCGGCTCCAGCATGAGCCAAGGGGGTCAGTGCAGCAAAATCAAGAATGTATGCCCTGTCTCCAGCGTCTCCTGGGGGATTTCAGCCAGACCTAGACGTGGATCTGGGACCAGGCTGTTTCCCTCCCACAGTGAGTTCAGGGCACAGCAGCCATGTTGCCCCTGCAAACCTGGTCAGGCTGCAAGCCTGGGAAACAGAGTCCCAGACTGGTTTGGGTAGGAAGGGTCCTTCAAGCTCATCCAGTTCCAAACCCCTGCCATGGGGCAGGGCCGCCTTCCACTAGGGCAGGTTGCTCAACATCTCCCTGGGCTTGGGGCTGCCTCATCATGTCAACACAGCAAGGGCAGCATCTACGATGCCCATGGGGGACTGGCAAATGTCAAGGCAGGAACATGCCACCTGTTGGCCCAGTATCATTCATGCCATCCTGGGCACAGGTTATAACCCTCACTGGATGCTGGTTGTGATGCTCCCTGTGGGTGCTAGGTGGTGAGTACCACTTCTGAGCATCCACTTCTGCCAGCTGTAATGCTTTGGGCACTCACCTGTGGTAGAGACATTTGGGAACAGTGTCACATCATCCATCAGAGCAGCTCCACCTCGGCACTGCCCCGGTGCTGCCTCCAGCCCTGAATCCTGCACAGCAGGTCCCTGTGGCTTTCAAGGAATGAAGAAAAACCACCAGGCAGGACAGCTTCTTTTTCTGAGCTAACCTTTGCCCAGGGTTGTCCCTCTCCTACGAGGCTGGACACACTGGTGGCCTTGGAGGAGCTGGGCAATACTAGGTTGTGACGTACCTGAGATGTTCCCAGGTGGCTCCAAAGGCAGCAAGATACTATGGTAAGAGCTGCAGATGTCCCAGAGATGCCCCAAGACATGGTCTGGCTCTCCTTCCTTCCAGGTGCTTGCTTTGTGTTCACAAAGGGATGATGAAGCAGTCACAAGAGGCTGCTTTGAGCCACACAGCAGGAAGGAGAAAGGGGTAATAAAGCCTCTTTCCAACACCCTGCACCTGCCCCAAAACATACATGTGACAACCCCAGGGTGGTTGCTCCTGAGGGCTTGCTGGGGGCAAACTGAAGCAGGATGCTGAGAAATGCCCCCACTCCCCCCATCCACGCTCCCCCCGATGGTTTGGTGGCTGTGCTCCAGCAAAGGCCTCTGCCAACCCGTTTGTTTTTTTCCACCCGGGAATTTTTGCAGCCTTGGAGATATTTCCAGGATTCCCAGCCCAGCTCTGGGCACGCGCTGCCCTTGAGAGGTGCCTCAAGTGCTTGGTTTGGCCACGGCACAAGGGGCTTATGCCAAAAACCCACCAGGCAGGAGCACCGCCCCCGGGATAGAGAGGAGGTGCCTGGGTGCTGGAGCCCCGTTGTAAGCGGATGCAGGTTGGTGGGGATGGCCTTGGACACGAGGGAGTCGGGATGCTGCACCCCAGGAGGATGCTCGGGGTGGGGTAAGGTGACCTCTATGATGGTGCCTCCATGCTGCACCCGGGCTCAGTTCCTGCTTGGCTCCCGCCCTTGCCAGCCCAGGCCACCGGCTGTGTCCTGCTGCCACGAGGGGGCACGGCGAGGCCACCCGAAACACCCTTCGCATCTTACCGCTCCTCCTTGTCGCGTCCTGCCACTTTTCAGGCGCTCGCAACTGGCCTTCTCTTTGATGTTGTGTCCCTCCTCCGTCACCCAGGGAGGCTGCACCCTGCTCCCCCCCTACCCCCAGAGAGATGTCCTGCCACTTCCATGTCCCCAGTGGAATGAATGACAGCCATGTCCTTGGTCCTGGCCATCTGGCTGGCTGGCAGGGACAAGCTCATCTCTCCAGCGCTTGTCCCTGGCCCCCATCTCTCCCTGGCCCCCTTTCAATCACTGGGGATAAGCCCAGCTTCTTTTGCTGTCCCATTTCCCCTCTTCTATAGCAGTTCGATGGCAGAGACAATCCCACCCGGTACACAGCCTGTGCTCATGTCCCCTGCCTCCTCCATCCCACCCTGCCTGCCCTGTCCATGACACTGTCCCAGCACAGAATCTTCTTTGTTGCTAAGCTCCAAGGTCAGCTCCAGCTTCCTGCCCCATGGGCATGTCCCCACCGCTGTCCCCAAGCTCAACAAGGGGACCTTCTGTGGTCCTGGAATAATAGTTGCCACTCAGCCCTGCCACCTTGCACGAGAAGCATGATTCCCGCCAGGGATAGCACAACCTCACTTTTGGTCAGGGGCTAGAGCCATCTAGAGTGCCTCTTGCAAGCACCGGTGTGCCCTGGCCACCTTCCAGAAGCATCAGGATCATCTGTCCCACCACCCCAAATTCCTCCTACTGTCTCAGCTGGAAAACTCCTCCTCTATCTCCTGTCCCCAGCCCTCTTAAGCAATCCCAGGCTAGCAACATGCTCTGTTCTGCAGCCACCTTCCCCAGCAGTACAGAGGCGTAGGACAGGAACCAGGTCACAGTTGCTCTGACCTACTGCCCTCTTCCCTGGGGGCACCTGGAGCATGGCCCAGCCAGTTTCCCCTGGGATCTGTCTTATGGCCAAGGGGGAGCCACGTTTCCCTTGTCCCCATCACCCTAAAACTGAGGTACAGTCCCTGTGACAAGCATGAAAGAGGAAGGTAATGCTGGGCTGGCAAAGCAAGCTGAGCATGGGTACTCCTCATGCCCCAGGAGATGGAGGATGCAAAGTACAAGGCATTAGTGGAGCTGGTAGCACTTCAGAGCATCACCTATGCTTCCCAGCCACACCAAAGGAACAAGGTCCCTGCAGTCCAAAAGCAGCTCCTGTTCGGAAAACCATGGAGAACCTGGTGAAAGGCCTGGAGCACAGGTGTGACGAGGAATGGTTAAGGGAACTGCAGGGTTTAGTCTGGAGAAGAGAAGGCTCAGGGGTGCCCTTATCGCTCCCTACAACTGCCTGGCAGAAAGATGGAGCCAGGAGGTAGCTGGTCTCTGCTCCTAAGGAACAAGGGATAAGACAAGAGGAAATGGCCTCAGGCTGCACCAGGGGTGGTTTAGACTGGATGTTAGGAGTAATTTTTCCCCCAGAGGGTGTTCAGGCATTGGAACAGGCTGCCCAGGGCAGTGGTGGAGTCACTGTCCCTGGAACTGTCCACAAACTGTGTAGACTAAGTACCTGAGTGACATGGTTTAGTGGTTGACCTTGGCAGTGCTGGGGAACAGTTGGACATGGTGATCTTAAACATCTTTTCCAACTTGCCATTTCAACCACAATAGATTCTATGATTCTATTGTGCAGAAAGCCTGGCTGGTGAAGAAGAACTGCCAAGGCTGCATGGGTGAGTGGACATGGGAATCCAGGGTCCTCATCAGGGCAGAAAAGCTTCAGGTCAGGATAAGGAGTGGCTTCCCAGAAGGTGAAACTTCTCCCAAAGCTATGAATGCGGATGGAAGTGGAGCGGGGTTTGGTAAATACCTGGGGATCCTGCGCAACCTGAAGAAAACAAGTCAGGGGCAGGAACTTTCCAAGAACGAGGGGATTTGCAAAGAGCCAGATGTGGGGTCAGCACTCAGCTGGATGCTCCATGCTGTCATCATGAGCACTGGGGAGCAGCCCTGCCACTCCAGCCACAGCACCTTTGGAGCAGAGAGGTCCCACCAGGAGCTGGGGAGTGGTTTGTACTGTGCCACCATCCAGCTGAGATGTAGAAACCCCCTGCAGATGTAGGATCAAAGCCTAGGACTCAGGCTGATCCCACCAATGTGTCACCAGATGCATGGAATGATGGGCACAGACTGTCACCCATGCTTTACAGCAGCAAAACACAAGGAAATCCCCGAAAGAATTCCTCAAGCATGGCCTGAATTATGTTGGGAAAAAGGGGTGGGAAGTCCAAGGGGGAGAAAGGGGAGAAGATCCCAGCACAAGTACTTAAAGTGGCTTCTTGAGCAGTTGGCTCAGCTTTGCCATGCTGTGGGAAATACCTCCATACTGGGCTTTGGTAGAACCAAGTTTCCATGCACTGCACTTGGGGAAGGACCATGGGTATCCTTCCCTAAGTGCTGGGTGCAGAAAAGGCTTCCAGGACCTGACCCTGGCTGAATCACAGCCACCTGAGGATCTGCCCTCTGTGGAGAAGAAAGCAACAATGACAGAGCTCTCACTCAGCAAAGTCCAGTCAAAACAAGTAGAATATTGCAAGTTCAGTGGCAGGACACAAATAATTGATGCTGGGAGTAATTAATCACTGTCCTCTCTGAGAAAAATTTTGACATTTTGGGTCAAAATGAGAGCGAATTCCAGGCAGTGCAATGGCCTTTGTCATCCCTGAACTGCATTTGGCCCCTTAACAGGCTCCAGTGTCCCACATTTTCCCTGTGAAGAAGGATGGACCCACCTCCATCCCAAGGACTCCTTGAGGACATGGTGTGGGAAAGAGGGAGCTCCATCTGCTTTAGCTAGTGAGGGACATTTCCAGAGCTTCCTTTAATGTGGGCTTGATAGACTATGATAGGTACCCAGACCACAGATGACATCCATGTGGGTCCAACCCCCATAGTCCCCCCTCCTGAGACAAGTGGACAATTCCACATGGCCTTTGTGAGGAGGCACAAGCCTCTGCAGACAAAAGTGCCCTGTTGGGTGCTCGCCTGGGTGGTGATAATAAGGAGATAATAGCCATGGAAGAAGGACTTGCTGTTTTGGAGAAGATTAAGTATCTGTGGGAGCAGTGTGGATGAATCATATCCCTCATGGGCTCAGAGCCCCTGGAAATGGCTCATGGCACTTCGAAAACAATGTCGTGAATCTTCTGCAG